ATATATATATACACATACACATATACACACACACACACACACACACACACACACACAGTATATTGAAAGGTAGGCTCACTCCCATTCACTTAATTGGACCCGCAAGGTGCGGGCTGCTCATACATTTTTACAAACTGCGCCATTTTGTCCACAAATATTAGTCAAATTATAAATATGGTCACGTAATGTTCTAAAAAACGATACATGTGTACCGTGTATTCTTGACAGTGTCTCGCAAAAGTGGATTTCCCATATGTGTGTGCTGTCTCTCTCTCTTTCTCTCTCTCTCTCTCTCTTTTTTTTCTCTCTCTCTCTCTCTGTCTCTCTCTCTCTCTCTCTCTCTCTGTCTCTCTCTCTTTCTCTCTCTCTCTCTCTTTACATTTCTTATGTCTTATTTAGTTGTTGTGTGGGATCTGATCTTAAAATATGACACATGACTGATGTGTTTTCAAGGCCCAAGCAAACCAAATGAATAGGAGTTTGACTGGACAAAGGAGATTCTAAATTCCTTGGAATAAATACATTGGATTTACCTTCCAGGGCGCTTATCATTTTTCTAAACATCTCTGTTAAAGATTCTTTGAATCCTCTCCTTGCAAGTACAATATGTCTTTTCGCTCTATCTACTCTTATGCTCTATTTGTAAAGGACGTTATTATGCATCCTGGATTAAAAAGACGAAGTCAAAAATAATTATTTTATTTCATAATTCTTTCAACGAGGAAACCTTTGATTTATTGATTTTTGTATCTGTTTTCATGTGCCTAGGGGGATGATATCTTGGACAGAAGCTCCGAGCTCATCTACACTGGGGAGCTGTCATGGATCTATCAGCCATATGGGCGCAGCCAGCAGCGAGTCTTCTTCCTCTTTGATCACCAGCTGGTTCTCTGTAAGAAGGTAAAATGTCTTTCTTTTTGTTCACTTTCTCCTTTCATTTAGATTCCCGTTTGCTTGAAACAAGATGATGAGGGAGAACACAAACAAAGTCCATCCCATGTTGACCAAAGCGATGCTTGAAGCCTATGCGACTTCTTGCTTCGGCTCCAAATATACTGTATGACCCGTTGCAAGACGCATGAGCCCTCAGTTATGTCCAAATACTCAGCACATTTCTCAAAATGTAACCACGGTAGTTTGGGCTTCGATGCACCGAGGCTGTGCTCCCCTGTCAGACGGATGTTCATGCTCGACTACACTCAACTATACAAGTACACGGAGGCACAGGCACGAAGGCAGTGAGACACTTGGGCACACTGTCTCACCGAGGCGGAGGGAACGCATCCTCACGTGCATCCAAATGTGAACCCAAGACCATTATCTCATCATTTACACAAAGACACACAGTGTATGGTTGATGTATGGCTTACATACTGTTTGTTAGTGCTGTCTTCATTAATCATTTATTGGCTTCATCCACCCTCTAGCTCTCGCCAGCGATCATTTCTAGCGCCACAACTCAATTCCAGTATGTCGGCAGATCTCGATTTTTGCAGTGCCACTTAAAAAAAAAAAATCTCCAAGGATACGCTGAATTATATGTATCATCATTTTTCTTTCCAATTTTGTTTCCATACTTCCTTCTCAAGCATTCTAAATCCAGTGACAGGCCTCTGGGGTTGTTCGCCCGCCATCTTTTCCTCTTCTATTGTTCTTATCAGTATTGTACGAAGATGCAGCTTTATCTCTGCATGCTCATTAGCTGTTCTGTTTCTCACTTTACCCCTGCTGACCTCGTCATGCAACTGGCTTCTTGTTTGGTCCTAAGGCAATCGTGCTGTGGCGATGAGTTTATGGGTACACAGAAGTAAATAAAGTTACGTTGGCCCAGGTAATTTGTGCTTGATGCACTGTTGGCCTGATCAGATTTTGGCGTCTGCCTTTTCTTACATTGTGAATGTGTGTGTTATATAATTCTCTGCTACGTGAATTGATTATAAAAGGCACTCTGCAGATAAATGTAACCATTGTGTCGTAGTGTAGTTGAAATACAATTGAACATCCTTTGAAATAGTGTCATGACCGAAACATTCAAGCCTTGTTCTTTTGGGCGAGCCGAGTCCGATCTGGTGGCTGAATTCACCTTTCAACTAATATAAAATACTATGATTTCACCGTAAAATGTAAAGCCCGTATAACGCAGGACGTTCTCCAGGGGTTCGCCAGGAGTTTTAATGGTCGTCTGGCGAACAATTTGGCAACCTTGAACAAATCCTTCTGCAAAATCGGAAGGCTGATATATGCCTGATACCTGGTGTCGATACTCACCCATCCCTAATCAAATTATTCTTGAAGTTTTACTTCAAGAATAATTATAAGGTCACAGAGTTGCAACTATGCAACTACTTTACCTTGTACAAGTGCTGCCAGAGTACACTTATCAATGCCAGTGTTAAAATAGTGTTGGCAAGTGTATTTTCTGGAAAACTGGCATCCCTCTATGTGCAAAGTGGGTGTTACAGTAGTCTATTTGGGCAGCAGATGGAAAGGTTTTCAGAAGACAGACGGTTGGATATGAATGGAAGGTAGCTTGTTGGCACCTCACGAGAGATTTAAGCACACACACACACACACACACACACACACACACACACACACACACACACACACACACACACACCACATACTTGCACTACACACAACTCATTTTCTGTGTACCTCACCAGGATCTGATACGACGGGACATTTTGTACTATAAGGGTCGCATCGACATGGATCGCTACGAGGTGCGGGACGCCATTGATGGGAGAGACGATGACTTCAATGTAAGTGTGAAGAATGCCTTCAAATTGTGCAACAAAGACAGCGACGAGATCCACATCTTCCTGGCCAAGAAACCGGAGGAGAAGATCCGCTGGCTCAGAGCTTTCCATGAGGAGAGGAAGATGGTGCAGGAGGATGAGAAAATCGGTTAGTCACATCTTTGGAGCGCATTTGCTTCATTCACAATGAGGAGGGTAGCTTCAGTCATTGCTCTTCTGTCATACAACTTATCTGCATGACAAAACTTTTTAAGATGTACTGTATAATGCTACAGGTTGCTGTGGGTTACAGTTCTTTCTGAAATGACAAATGCAACCGTATTTGACCTTTCTGAGCCTAAACATGTATCCATTCCAAAACATGTTTTTCCAAATGACGTGACAATGATGCCACTGCACCACTTAAGGCACTTGTGCATCCAATCAGTTTGTTCAAATGTCATCTCTGCAGCCCAAGACTTGCATATTTGTATGGAATCGTGACATGTTGCCTATGATATGATATGATATGATATGATATGATATGATATGATATGATATGATATGATATGATATGATATGATAGTGGTACACCCACCTGACTTGTGTGTGGGCAGTGTGGGATCGGTTTCCACTTGGTGACGGTGTGGATGTTAGTGTGAATGGTTGTTCCTCCCGATACATGACCTGTGACCGACTGGCGACCAGTTCAGGGTGTTGTCGGCCTTCCGCTCAAAGTTGGATGGGATACGCTCCAGCAACTCCCGCAAGCCTCTTCAGGCTAAGCAGTGTTGAAAATGAATGCATGATATGATTTGATATGATATGATATGGAACTCATCAAGTCTGAGCTGTAATCTTTATTGTCGCAGCTCATTTATCGGAACATACTTTGTTGTTTGCTGTTTAGGTTTTGAGATCTCAGAGTACCAGAAACGGCAGGCGGCTATGACAGTGAGAAAGGTGACCAAACAGAAAGGTGAGGCAACAAGAAGATATCAGGTGATTTCCATTTTCTTTTCCTCGCTGGTGTGCTCTGTCTTCTCATCGTTGTTTACTATTCGTTCAACCTGCTTTTTCTTATCTACTTTCATTTGCTTTCCTTAAACACACAAACATGCATTTTATTGAAGGGTGCACCGAGTAAACTGAAAAAGTACAGTACGTTACTTTTGGTCTTTCATTTGAGTTAAATGTCTGTCTGCTTACATGCAAATGACTTGCCATATGTCGTAAAGCAGCTGTTAAGCATCAATGAAAAGACAGAGGGACTGTTTGCATGAAGTATTGAGTTTTAAAGATGACATCTGTCTTCATGGCATCTGGATCCGGTGTCATAGTTTTTTTGATGCAATTTCCTACCTCCATCAGCGATTTGGGTTAGGTTGAGCAACATTCTTTTTTTTCAACCGAGCTAAGGCAACTGTTTGTTGGTTTTAACTTGAATTTAATAGCCATCTACTTCACACGGGTCAAAGTTCACATTTGCGAACATTGGCAAAAAGGGCAGAGAAGCAAAGTTTTTACTTCAAACGCTTCATCCTTGCAAACTGCATGACCGATGCATCAGTCCTTCTCACAGACTGCTCTTGAATGACAGTCGCGGCAGATACACTCATACAGTACATAAGCATATGCAAGTGAGGGTAAACGTTAGAAACGTCAATTTCATGTTTATTTCGGACAATAATCGACTCAACTACAAATTCTTGTTGTAAGCTATTTTTGTTATTATTAGTGACTGTAGTTTGAATACATTGTGCATCTTGGGTAAAATATGTGCTTTTTAACATTTGTTTCTCAGAATACACACATATTCAAATACGAACATAATTTGGTGAATCACAGATTTGGCCCAATGACCCTGAACACAAAGCCAGACCAGCTTCATTTCATTCATTATTCAATGGATTGGTTTCGATCACAGTTGTCAGTGTCGTTATTAGGATCCTGCAGAGCTTGCCGATGAGGTGTTCATTTGAATCAGGTGTGGTGCAGTAGAGAGAAATGGAAAGCAGGCAGGAAAGCAGCCCTCAAGGACCAGAGTTTGACACCTATCCTTTAGATTACAGAATATTCATTAGTTAAAATGAGAGTCCAGACCTAAATCCCAATGAGCATTTGTGGCAAGACTGAAAAATTGCTGTTCTGGGCAAAAATGTCAGTGTCAAGATTCGCAAATCCAGTCAAGACCTACCCCAAAAGACCTGTCGCTGTAATTGCAGAGAAAGGTGGCGCTACAAAGTGGGACACGACAAATGCACACCCTATTTTACAGATTTGAATTTGCCTAAAATTTTGACAAACATATATAATGTCCAGTCCACTTGACTACCTTGTGTCATATTCAGTAAAACCTCCAAAAAATAAAATTTAAAAAATTTGTGGTTGTAAGATGGCAAAATTTGAAAACGTTCAAGGGGTATGAACACTTTTCCAAGGCACTGTATATCCTTCATGTAAGCCGGAACCGTTTTGTCTTTTTGTCAGAACTAAAGTTTTTTTGAAGCAATAAAGGCGGATAACAGCTTTCTGCTTTACTTTGTGTAACTCATTCTGATGGAAAGCCAACCGCGTTACAACAGTGAAGAAGAAAGACATGCCAAACGTGTTGTTGCTCGAAGCTAGCACCTGTCAACACAAACACTGGGCCCACATGTCACAATTGCTGGTGTCATCCTTTACATTTTAGCCATTTTAGTACTAGGCTAGATGTTGTTGTTTTTTGTTTTGTTTTGTCTTTTTTCCATGACTGATGTTTTTTTGCTCTGGCCAGTGGCACAATAAGCATGATCATCCATTCAAGTATGAATTAACCAATGACCACTTCTGAATGTTCTCTCTGGCGTCAACCCTCGTAGATGTGGTTTCCCGGTAAATGTTTGCGTATGTGCTGTATGTGTACACGGCCGGCACGAGGTGAAGTACTCTCTTGAATTTCAGATTCATTGATAGATTTCATCTTGAGAAAGAGGGCCATGTTGTATGGACATGGTTTGAAAATGATAAAGGTATCTGCATAAAAGTTCTCTTCAGAGCTTAGCACAATAAGATGCCATGGCAACCGCAAAAACAGCATTGGGAAGTGTTGTCATTACCGTTGGCACTGGAGCATGCAGTCACTGTCCAATGCGCCGATAAGCATTATCACATGCACTATCTCGGAGAAACGGCTTCCGCTGTCACAAATAGATCAAACCCTTCTCACTGCTGCTAAAGCAACGTTTGGCAAAATACCTGGAACGAAGCACACCGTTTCTCATCATTGTTGATTTCTGAGATGCCATGGCAACTTTGGACTCTTTCATCTCCAAATATAGTAGCTGGTAACTACGCCAGCATACTTGTGATGCTTGTAGACTAGCTAAAAGGACATGGTAGAATCTAGTTAAATGCACATGAAAAAGCTTTCTGTTGGGCTCTGTTTTCACCACCCCTGTGTTCTTCAAGTGTTACGCGTGCTATTCAAACAACTATGCGGTCAACAAAAAACTGGAGGAACATCGTCTTTTGTCCAAAAGCCTGCGGCAGCATTGCATCGGATGTGATCTCAGTTCTCTTGTTAGCGCGCAACCGATTTTGCTTGAATAGCATCGTTAGTCGCCCTCGCGTCATCACCGATGCTGACTTCCACTTTTCATCCTCTTCAACAGTCATCATATGATCACATTTCAGGTTGACCACGCAGGAATGTTCCAAATGGAATCTCATTTTTATGCGTGCGCCTGTGTGCTGTCGTCGCATGAATAGATGTTGTGTTGTCAGGCAATTCAGTGACAATGCTGACGATTGTTTTCTCTTTGCTTTTTGCCTATGCCGCCTCCTTGTCCCCCTTCCCCTTGTACCCCTTTCTTGCTTTTCTGCACCTGCTGCTCTTCTAGGTGTAAACAGGTGCACGCCCCCCTCATACCCGCCCCCCCAGGAACCCCTCAGTGCCGGGCAGTATGAGGTGACGGAGGACATGGCACAAGGAGAGGTTTTTGAATTCAGTCAATCCAAAAGAGGCCAGGCTCCTTTCTGGCAAAATTTTAGTAGATTAGCTCCATTTAAGAAATAGAGACTCTTCTAAAGGACCAGCTATTTTTTTTCTTCGAAGCACTAAACACTGGATGATCGTGTCACAGAATGAAGAAAATACAAAAACACACTGACTTGAGACTTTCACAGTTAAGGACCAACGTTGATATTGGGCATGGCTGAAAGCAGCAAGAGGACTGAAGACTTTCACAGAAAGGGGTGGGGGTGAGGCGCTGGGATCAAACGTAACAATTCATACATGTTGCCAACATTCTTAGTTATGCTTCTCCAGCTGAGTCAGCCATCACTTGCGCTCTCCCTCAGATTCTGCAACGCTTACCTGTATCAACACATCATCTGAATGTCCTGGAATTTGTAGAGATTGTTGTCTTACTCCTCTTTTAATCCATAGTCTGAGGACACAAACCGGGTAGTGTCAGGTCGCTGTACGATTGTGTCCAAGATCTCGCTCAGATTGCGTGTTGCATTCTTGTGAATGTGTGTCCAAGTAATGGCAGAACCATGGCCACTCATCTGATGTACCCGGAAGCTCGACTATGTTGGGCATCCCTCTCCCACCACCAGCTCCAGACCACTTAACGCGCATTTGAATCTGCTCTCGACTTGCTCTCGTCACAGTATCGCCCTCTCGTCGTCATCCCGCCATCTTTATCTCTCTGCTCGCCTGCTCGGCCTAGTTGAGTCAGAGAGGGCTTTTCGATCCTTCAGAAGCCTGCCACCGACCGCATGACGGCTCCAGGAACAAATCAATAGAGCCAATGTCAAAAGTATAGCGTATGAACATTCATTCAGCGAGCAGTTTTGACAGGGTATTTCATATCACATCGCACCGAAGGTCAAGGGCCGTGGGTTGTGGGGAGCTTGCTGCTCAGTTGAACCTGCTGGGAGCAGGAGATAGGCAGGCTACGCTCCAGCCGCCAACTGCCAGAGCCTCTCTCCTCTCTCCCCACCAGAGACCACCCCTGCCAGCTCACTGACTGTTTGGAAAGAGCAAGGCCCACCGCCGGAAATGCATCGACAGCAAGCAGTGAGGTTGATCTTTAAAATGTCTTTTTTTGTTTTTTGTTTGTTTTCCAGCACTCTAAACGTTATTTTGACTTATTTTGTATTGCTCATACAGGAAAAGGGTACAGCATGGCTCAGTACTGATTTTGTGGAAGCTTGCTGTGCGCAAATGGCTGTAGTAAAATAAGGTAGACCCACTGACAACCACAAGGAGGGCAAAACAGGCTGACATTATAAAAGAAGTGGAAAAGCAGTGCGACATGAGTTTGGAGGCACAAAGATGGATATAATGTGTAGCATGCAGGCATTTTCTGATTCATGCATCCCCACAGACTGCCACTTAAATTCTTGGCATTCCCCTCCCATCATGATTATTCCAATCTGATCCCTGTTCTGGCGCAGAGCGCCACACAAGTGTATTAACAGAAATTCTGAAGACTGTGGCCTGATCAGATGGATTTGTTTACACACAATGGACGAGATGCTTCTTCAGCGGGGCAGTTAGAGAAACAGATCTCAAGAGAGAAGGCTGGTTTTCGTTGCTCCAGTTGGAATGTACGCAAACCATCTGGCCGCAGTTTGTGAACTTATGTTGACCTCAGACACATTTCATGTTGGATTCAGTGGACAGCACTTATCTGAGGAATGTGCCATCATTATGAAAGCGTTCTTCAATATATTGTTCTGTGTCTTTTTTTTGTTTTGCCTTCAAATTGGCCTTCCTGGGAAAACACCAACCACCCAATCTATTTGTATGTTGTTCAATGTGTGTTTTGTTACAGTAAAGTTGTGACAAGGATGAGTGGCGTCTCTCCCAGTCAGATTATTCCGGGAGATAAGTCCCTTCACTAACAACAGACGGTTCCCAGAGCATGATAACCTCAGGTCCAGTGCTGCGCCCAACCCACCTCCGTACCCCCGCAGATGCAAATGCACACAGAGACACACAATCATGCGCACTTACTGGCCCGTTGTGCTGCGGAGAAGAGAGATGCTATCTAACAGTGCCTTCCAGCATTCCACTAGTGATTATCTATTCAGTTTCACGGGCAGATTTGAATTTGTCATGTAGTTTCCCTTCGGCGCGGGACTTGCAACGGTCTCTCCGTTTCTCTCGCACGAGATCCACTCTGACAGATCTCTTGCACGATTCGTTTCTGTGCGCGCGGCACACACGCTCATAACACTCATTTTGTTACTGTGTCACCCTCGCATAGCTGCATTTATCTTGCACAAATGTAAGTTATTCTGATTTCAGATACAGTATGTAGAAATGACATAGGATTCCTTTATTGTTGAGAGAGGATTTGTTTCGAATATAAATATCTATATAT